AGTGAGGTTAAGTTACTGACAACACCTTGTTATTATTACACCATGGATGAGATGTTCATCACTGACTAATATGTCAAACAGATACCAATTCAGACTGTAAATAAGTTTTTCGATTATATTTGTTTGAGAGCCTCTTGGAGGTTAAAAACTAAATTGCCCACATCTACATAAACTCTTTCTTTTTTTCATCAGAATCGTTAACGGTTGAGAAAGGTTTACAACAAAAGATAATATTTCCTTCCCTAACGCCGGTTTCACACGGGTTTTTGTCAAGACTGGGCCAATGCCCAATACTTTTTAATCACACGACTGGGCTACCAAGTTACACCAAATTTTATGTTACTAATATGTGTTCTAAAAGTGAAACAAATATGATCATAAGTATGAATTTTTAGGATAGCTCTCAATCCCTGCGCCACCTATCGGAAGACAAACACACTGATCCTTCTAAAAACTTTTGCACAAAACAACAATCATTCAATGCGATTTTAAAATCTGTGAGAAAATGGTTCCCAATTGAATGATTCTTGCGATTTTATATGTGTATAAATGTAGGTGAATAAAATTCCATTACCTTATAATAAGTGGTTCCAGAGATAAGCGATATGAGAATTTCAGTTTGTATGGGAAGCGCCACGCCCACTTTCCCAGTATCTACCATTTTTCCCGTTAGTAGAGTATTTACAATCTATGCATATGTGCCAAGTTTCAGTTCCCCAGCATAATTGGTTTTATAGATATAGTGGTTTTCACATTTTAGTCTATATGTCAGATGCCACGCCCCCTATGTATCGGGATTCACATTAGAGGAAGTTATATCCTTTAAATCGGTGTATGTTTCATTGAAATCGAGCGAACGGGGGGCCTTCAGAAAAGGGACTGCAAAATTTTCTTGTGGCGTATTTATATATTGATTTACTCAAAATCGATATATACAATGACTTCACAGCAGAAAAAAATACATAGGAAATTTTGGGAAAATGGGCGTGGCACTGGCCACTTACGCCTCGGCACATTTATCAACCTTGGCGCAAAAAAGCAATATGTTGAAAATTTTTGAAATCGGGCTAAAATTACCGCCATTTACCACATAAAGGTATATTTCAGAAATACGAAAGTTCCTATATTTCAATAACTAAAGACGCCAACTTATGACAATCACTTAACAAGACGCAATGATTGATTTTTGTACAATGGGCGTGCCACCATCCACTTATGACTACATACTCAAGTATCCGCCTTATCGATTTCCATCAAACTTGCTCCAATTATTTCAATATATCATAGCATATTATCGAAACTGTTTGACATCGGGAAAAATACTCTTGCTTATCATGCAGTTTACTGAAAGGTGAAAAAACGATATTTAATACGTGCGCTGGGTATATAAAGTTCGGTTTCTCCCGAACTTATACTTCTTTACTTGTTTCTTAATATAATTGTATTTTATTTAATTATATTTTGTGGTTGAAATGACTTGATCGTCGGCAGGAACTAATCAACTTTTTTGCCAAAACCAAAGCAGACGGGAAGGAAAAATAGTTGTTCATTAACGATTTGTCCGAAATATCGTTCTTGAAACGTGCTACTGCTCACTAAATTTGTAAAAATCAAATTTTTTCACTTAATTGTTAAATTTTTCTTCATTGTGGTAAATTTCCAGATCATCACAGCAGCTGGCTGTCAAACCCAAACCAAAAAAGATACCAAAACATTCAGGGCGCAATCTTCTTTTCTATGATTATTGTACTGCTACTTTGAATTTCTCAATTTTGACAATTCTGATGTAAAAGTAAACGAAACCTCAGAAATTTTAAATGCATTCTAAATGTCGCTTCACTGCAGCAAAACCAAGTTGTGGGGAAAACCCTGACGAAATGCGTACAATTGAAACCATGGGTTTGAAGATTGTGCAAATTAATGTGAAAATTTCAATTTCATATTAAATAAAAATGTAGTTTCGATTTAAAAAAAAAAATCGTATAAAGGTTTTCTTTCGCCATTCATACACCTCTAATTTTAGTATTTATTTAAAAAACTCAATGAAATTCAAAAACTATCTCTTGCATTTGGTTTTACTCAATACCGATTTCATGAACGAAAGACACAAGTTCACGCCTTAAGGAAAGAAAGAAAAAAGTTATTTTCTAGCTGTTGAAATCTCGACGCCATCTTTGTTGTAAGAAGTAAACAACGAAGAGAACAAAAAAAAAATACGCGTAATTGTTGAATGCATGAATAATCATTTTTATTATGCAAATTCTTTTATAAATCATGTCGTTTTGTTAAATTATTCTTTACCTTATGTGTGCACACGTTGTCACAAGCGAAAATTAAGAAAATTGCAGTAAAAAGCCACCACCAAATTGTAAACAACGAAAAAATGTAAATAAACGGCTAATGTCAAAGTCACCCAACTTTTTTCCTAATTGCGATTATAACGGGCTACTAAGAAGAAGGCGTGATCTTGTATTTTTGGTTCATGTACCGATTTGAGCTGTCGCACAGTGTTATCAAAAAAAAAAAGCTATCAATGGGTAGGTTCAGAAGGCGCAGCAGTTGAGCGCAACCGTTGCTAAAAAAATCAGTGATCGTTATGCGTCTTCTGAACGACTTGATACATTAGCTGTCAAATTCAACTCTCAAAGGAACTCACCAACATGTTGTCTCAAATGATCAGAAAAATATTACGATCATCTAAAGGTATTGGCCCAATGCAGGCTTGCTTTGCTTGCCTCGCTTTGAGAACTGTCAAAAGTTATTTGGAATATACCAAAACGTATGAAGGCTGGCCAAATGGCAGCTTTGCTTCACTTGCTTTAAGCGCCTCAAAGTTTCGAATAGGCAAATGTTTTATTTGAAAGCGCTTTGTAGGCTTTTGACAAAAAGGTATGTTCCCGTTCTAAATGAATTCAAACTGCTGCGCCCTTTTATGAACAAAAATTTGCTTACGTAATTAAAAAAATATATATAATATAAGTTATTCAAAGTTTAATAAAAGTGATTATATGTTTCCATATTTACATTTAACATATCGCTGACTGAAAAGTTGCTAAGTCCATTTTTACAAATTTTACAGGAACTTTGAATACAACATTTTGCGTGTTTAAAGCAAAGCAAAACTCCATACGAATCAAAAGGATTCGATCTTTATTAAAAGATATCGTATTATTTTGGCCTTATCGGATTTTCGGGGCCTCTTCTGGACTTAGAAAATTTGCCTTCCATTGAATATAAATGAGAAAAAATAAAACAAGTACCTTAATCTTTAATTTTCTTGCTTCCTATATCATGAGGTTTCACAAATTGTGGACTTAGCAACTTTTCACACAAAGCTAGCGATATTTATGATGTCAAACTACTGGTCAGTCGTCTCTTGAAAAATTGGATTTTTGTTTTGTTTTTAATAAATGTACCTATAGCTATATATGTATAATTATTATCATTCCTTTG